AACAATAATGCTTTGGGATAATATGAATTTCTTCAATTAAAAGAAATTTTACCTTAAAGGTCATTAAAAGATGTGAGTTCAAGCACTTGATCAAGAACTTTAAGTTAGATCATATATATGGCATGTTGTTGTTGTATGTGCTGTGGAGTCGGTTCCGACTCATAGAGACCCTGCACCGGATTCCCGAGGCTGTTAATCTTTACAGGAGCAGAAATCCTCATCTTTCTCTCGCAGAGCAGCTGGCAGTTTCGAACTGCTGACCTTGCGGTTCGCAGCCCGATTCACAACCACTATGCTACCAGAGCTCCTTATATATGGCATAGCGTTGGCTATTATTATTGTTTTATACAGGGAAGACTACTGAAATACTTACGTAATTGTACGACAGCACTTTCTCCATTTGTTGCAATGTAGTGCAGTGTTTGTTCCCCATAGTAGGATGCACCTGTCTTGTCAACATCTGTACTAGCTATTACCAACACAGCAGTAGCTATAACAGTAAAAATTTGTATTAGATTTAAAACATAAATTAATCTGATAAATAATGTAACAGAGCATGTCTAAATTTCCATCAGATAATACGTACTAGTCTTTTTTATTTTTCTATACAGTGGAATGTAACCCTAAATGAACACTTGTTAAACAAAATGAATAATAAAATTTATTTATCATACCTTTTTTATTCCATAGCATTGTAACCTTATCAGCCTTAAAGAAACTTTTGTTGGCTAAAGCAGCATGAGGTCCTCCAAAGTTGGGGTACTGATATAATCTAACAAATGAAGGTGCACCCTTACTTCCTGGAACATAGACAGCCACCTAAGATACACAGACATAAGTTGTAATTTTTCCAAGCAGCTAAACTAACATGTTTGTGTTCACCATCACTAAAAATTAAGTAAGTTTAATCAAAGTAACAAAAACATAGTAATTACCTTGTATGGATGGGGTCCGGGAGACAGCACAAAATCATTAATTTTTTGCAAATGTAGTTTATTTGCAATTATATCTAAAAAAAGGAACTAGTGTTAGGGTAATGAGAGAACACAGCTAACAGGGTGCATTACAAATATAAAAAGGTAACACAAGCTACACATTAATGCTGTTCAATATAGTCTTGTGTAGTAGAAAAAGCATGGAATGTTAAGAAGACAGAATTAGACTTCTCAATAAAAAAGTAAATGCAATGGAGTTAAACATAAATTATTTTAAATTCATGAGGTCATAAAGACATGGGGAGGGGATAGATATTAGGAGCAATAGAGTTGTTGGAGAAAGAACTCATATTAAAAAGGAAAATGTATTTATTCTGACTTTCTTATACAAACGATATTTCCAGATAACTAAATGTAGATAGGGGAAATTGCTCTTTTATGATGCAGTCTTTCCCTCACCCTCCAAAAAATGAACCAGAAACTGATCAACTCTAGATCCAACTAAAATTTGTAAAGGACAGGTGAACATACTGAATCACAATATGGGATTCAATACCACAATATAAGACAACCAAGCTTGCTTCTTAAATAGTAAATTGTAAGGGGGAAGGGTAGTAGAGAAGAAAAGATAATATATAAATAAAAAGAAACTTTTTTTTAAAATATATACATATAATATTTGCAATTATTAGAAATGTGAATACGGACTAGAAATTTAATATGAGCAGCAATCATGTATTTAACTTAAGCACTCATCAGCTATTAAAATGAGTTATGATGATGGTATCGTGGTGGTGATGTACCCTGGAATCAATTCTGACTCATATTGACCCTGTATAGGGTTTTCAATGCTGCAAATCTTAATGGGAGCAGAAAGCCTCATATTTTTCCCACAGAACAGTTGGTAGTTTCGAACTGCTGACCTTGAGGTTAGCAGCCCAACTTGTAACCACTAACATGACCTGTGATGATGGTATTGTAGCTAAGTTTAAATAATTTAAGAAATCAAATCTTCAGAGATACTAAAATATGTCCAGGTAAAATTATATGATGTCTAGGGTTTGGCACAATGAGAAAGATTAACATGAACATAGAATAAGGTAGGACTGGCCACAGCTTTGGGGATTAGATATATTTCTATGTTTAAAATTCTCCACAATAGAAAATCTTTCTAAATTTAAAAACCTTCAAAAATTTGTGTCACAGAATTTCAAAAGCAATTAAAATCAGAAAGAAGTATTCAAATACTTCAATGGCAATTATCAAGTAATGAAAGATTATAAAAGAAAAATTTTCACTAGTGATTGTCTTATAAATAGGCATTCAAATGAATCAATATAAAGCAACTACCGATTGATAATGTAACACTATAACACTATTTAGAATATTCTATGATACCATATAATAAAACTATATGCATTTATAATAAATAGTACAATTACTCCATAAATCTTTCCATACTAAAATTGTTGTTTTCAAAGAAGTGAACTTCATTGTTAACATTTCTGGCACAAATAGTTTCATCTTCTGACCAGGATGGACACCTACATTGAAAATATATTAAAAAATTTTTAGACAGACTGTCACATCATATTTCAACATGCCAAAGCTTGTCATATTGTGATATATATAAGGTATTATGATACTAATTAAGAAAAGTACTTATAAATATGTTAAGTCAGTTACTAATAGTTTTAATCAGTGAGCTAATAAAAAATATTATTTCTGACTAGCAAAAGAATCAGCACATTTATTAGCATAAACGAAGATTCCTATATACAATATCCTTAAAGATCTAGCTTTTGGTTTGACATGTTATTTTTAAGATCAATACAGAGAAAAACACTACAGAGTAAACTTGTTTAACTTTTAATATTTTGTAATTAGTAATTTAAAGCATTTATATACCAATTTTGCATTTTTTTCTGGATGAAAGACTTCAAACATGTTCCAGTTTTCACATCATAAAGTTGTAGGTTGGGTGCCCCAGCTGTGCCATCTTTCGAAGCTGTAATAAAAAATTTTTTGCAGAAATTTTATTTTAACACTTGTAAACAGACTCCATTCTTAGAAAAAACTTTATAAAGATCAAAAGGGTTGCTTTAAATCAACTTTGCCCTCTAGCCAGACAACGTTGATACACAAAATCTAGCACCTCTGAAGTGAGTTAACTATTAATACTTTAATTCACTTTATTCAACAATATCCTTATCATTAAAAAATGTTTCTTAAAAATAAGTTCTTATTCAAGCACAGTTATATAAAATGTTCACATAATGTATTAACTACTCTGGTAGCGTAGTGGTTACGAATTGGGCTGTTAACCTCAAGGTCGGCAGTTCAAAACTACCAGCTGTTCTGTGGGAGAAAGATGAGGCTTTTTGCTCCCGTAAAGATTTGCAGCCTTGGAAACCCTGTGCAGGGTCACTATGAGTCAGTGCCAACTCCACAGTACTTAACAACAACAACATCTTTATGTAAGAGTCCTGGAGTGGCACTGTAGGATAAGTACTGGAGTGCTAACCTCAAGATTGGCACTTCAAACTCACCAGCCACTCTGTGGAAACCATATACAAGGTTGTATGAGTCAGAACTGAATTGATGGCACTTAATGATAACATCTTTATATATATTAGAAATGGCCTATATCCTATTCTGTTAAGCTATACGCATCTCTTAGATGTTGAGTATATGCTACTTCATTTATGATTATTTAAAGGATTTTTGTTCTTTAAAAGTCATTATATTATTCTTAGTGTTTAGAGACCTTTCTTAGCTAGTTATTAAGCAAAGTAAGAACATATAACTATGGTAGGAATGGCCATAGGTTTTGGGATTTGGTCTTTGTAAATTTCTTTACATTCTTCCTAAATTTTCCCTTGAGGTTTTTCTTTTCCTGTATCTTGTAATGAATCTTTTTATTGACTTACTATAGAACTTGAATCACTGAAAGTACATTGCACTTGAAAGTACAATAGCCATTGCTGATTTAAAATGTCGACAAACACCATCATAAAAACTAATAGTTTGATATAAGGGAATAACATTTTTTCCACAGCTTTTCACTGAATTTAATTGGTCCAATGAAAATACTTTTACAATTGGCAAAAAACTTACCAGTATATGGCTGCCACGTTGCCAAGACAGTGTTTTTTGGTGAGAACTCAAGACAAACCGCCTTTGGGAGATCGAAGGAGTGCAGTAATCCCTTGTTAGTGACATTGATAATATTGACTCTGGTTTCAAAAGAAATTACTTCAGCAGTGAAATATTGTTTCGTAAGAGACAACAGTAACCAAACGATTCATGCTTTTTTAAAAAATACAAACAACTCTCAAACATTTATTTTTCACAACAAATCAATATACAGTTAGTTCTAGAAAATATAAATAAATAACTTAAGAGGAACGTGCATTTTATCAAAAGGTTCTTAGTTGGAGAGTAATATTGAATTAGCAGTAAGACACAGTAAATGATTCTACCTTCAGCTGAAAGGAAAAACAAACACCTCAACAAGGCTTTGAAGTGGGCTTTAAAAAGCAAGTGTTTAAGGAAATAGTCAAAGTATATGTTTTAATTTAAGCAAGTAGAAGCTGCAGCAGCTGGAGAAATAAGCAAGGAGATTTTTGTTGTCTACTAAAATCTCAGATGAAGTCTCCAAAAGATATGACTATACGAATTATTGTGGTCCAAAACGTTAATAGTATACATACTAAAAGCCATTTGCATTGCTAGATACCATCTTTGTATCATGTACCAGTCTAAGCAACATACAAGCCACCACAGTACAACATGACAAATAGTGAGTCCACCATTTTTTTTACTTTATGTATACTTCTCTTTTAATGCTCACAATAGTTTTGTAAGATATGCATGAGGGAAAATCAAAAAGTATTACCATCCAATCACAGAAACTTTATTAAACAGAAGCATCAAAATGTGAAGTGGCTGTTTCTTAACATATCACCCCTCTAGATCTACACACTTTTGAAGGCAATGTGTGCACCTCTCTAATCCTTTCCCATAGAATTCTGAGCTTTTTCAATTTACACCATGCCAAAATGGCAATTTTGGCATCCTCAAAGAGGCTCAAACTGTGTTACTTTTAAATATTCTTTTTGAGTTTGGGGAACAAAAAGTCTGAACAGGAAAGATCTGAGCTGTTGGGAGGATATAGGGTAAGGTTTCCCAACGAAATTCTCACAGGACAGCCCTTACAGGATGAGCAGGTGCATTGTCACGATGGGACAAAGTTCCTCAGAATAATTCTCCTGGCCTTTTTTTTTTTTTTTTTTTTACCACACACATTTGTTTTAAATTTTCTTAAAACTTCTTCATAAGCCCCCATGATCATCTTGTGTCCTTTGAGAAAATCTATCATAACTACCTATTTAGAACCTAAAAAAAGTTTGGCATAACCTAACTTGACCTTTCTGCTTTGAATTTAACCAGTCCAGCAGACTCCCTTGAATCTTTTTATTGGATCTGTATTTTAAAGGTACCCCAATGAGACTGCTGTTGTTAAGTATCATCAAGTTGGCTCCAACTCATATTGGTTTCTATTGCTGTAAATCTTTATGGAGTCAGATTGCCACATCTTTCTCCTGCAGACCAGCTGATGGGGTTTGGATGAAAACCGCAGGCTTTTTCAGTTAACAGTCCTTTTATTCACCGTGCCACCAGGATTCTTTTCTGTAAAGATTGTTGTTGTTAAGTACCGTGGAGTCGGTTCTGACTCATAGTGACCCTGCACAGGGTTTCCGAGGCTGTAAATCTTTACGGGAGCAGAAAGCCTCGTTTTTCTCCCGCGGAACAGCTGGTGGTTTTGAACTGCCGACCTTGAGGTTAGCAGCCCAATTCGTAACCACTATGTTACCAGAGCTCCTTTCTGTAAAGATTACAGCCTTGGAATTCCTATGGGGCAATTCTACTTGGTTCTACTGGCTGCTATATACAGAATTGACTCAGCGGCAACAGGTTTAGTTTATTACACAAATTAGTGAAACTGAGGCTTAGAAATATTGTGTAATTTGTCCAATATGATATACTACTGGCAAGTGCCACAGTCAAGCTTTAAAACCAATTTGTTGTTGTTAGGTGTCATCGAGTTGGTACCGACTCACAGTGGCCCAATGCAGAACAAAACACTGCCTGGTCCTAGGCCAACTGCACTATTGTTACTACACCTGAGCCCATTG